GTACGTTGTGTTTCAAACCATGGTCTTTGTTGTTGTGCAGATCTTGAGCATAGATGAGTCTCAGTGCCAGGGCTGTTAATACAAAATTCATATTGTCAATTTTTTAATTAGTTGAAGTCCTAGCCAAGGTCACTCTTTCAGGACAAAGTCCATCTGCGTGTGCATTTGCACGTGTCAGTGTAAGGTGGCGTGTTTTTTGCCGATAAACTGTTCTTCTAAAGATGAATAGGTGTAGCAATGGCAAAATATTGGTAAAATATTGACAAGATAACTGTTGGCAGAGTAATTCTTGGTGTAGTATGGATACTGGTTACCATGAAGCGCTTTGTAGTGTAGGCAAATCTCGCCTATTTGTTCATATCTTCAGTTTATTTCAGCTAGAGATTGGCTGTAGGTGGGGAAGGGGAGGCTTTGAAATGTGCTTTATTCCCTTTTCCCTTGCTGGTGGCTCCATTCTGGGGCAGTAGTTGAAGTGCTTAGGTAGTGCTTTAAAAATTTGGGATTCTGAGTGGGGTTGTTTTTGCATTCCTTCTCTTCACTTTTGTGTGTTCTGAGTATTGAAGATAACCTCTTCCAGTGTTTTCACTTTTTGTAGAACCTACCAACTACTGAGCAGCCAGGAAAGCTGTTGGTCTGTCCAGCTCTGGCATCATCAGCTGTTTTCTTAGAAAAATTCCTCTATCTGGTCTGATAAAAAAGAGAAATTTTCAGTCGTTATTACTCTGTGGGTGCTTCAGACAGTGTGGAAAACATGGTTGATGAGACCTCTGCCTGGGTTCAGTCTACAGTAATATATACGTATATTTAGATATTTTTGCATAACACTTGAATAATCTTGTGTTGTTAGCTTTAAAAGCCTTGAAGGGCTGTCAGGAGACCACCAGAATGACTGTTTCTGTAACTTGTGTACTTGTCTTGGGTTAAATGTTTTCTTTATACATCATCTTTCAGATATTTATTTTGCAGACTGAATCCCACTGGAAACTCTACCTTTTGGTCTTCTTGGCTCCAGATATCGGCCTTCAGTGTTCTCCAATACTGACATTTTTTTTTTCTCATTCAGAACATCTGTGGCATCTGTTGTCTTTTGGGTTTTGGTTTCCTTTGGACTGCATCTTGCTAAATTCTTGCCTGCTGATTTTGCACAGCTTACAGCTGTTGTGCCTAACCCAGTTTCCCGCTTCTAATGCATTTGAAAGGAATATTTGTAATGTATTGTTAAATCCCCTTGACCAAAGTACTGATGAATTTGTGTTTTCATTATGCTCCAGATTAAGGCTTTTAAATGCTACAAGTATATGGATGGAGTAATAAACCCACTTAAGCGCTTGTATACTCTTAGAGTATAGCTTAAGCTTTTCAGAGTTTATTGCTCCTAATATTGTTTTTGTACTTGCACAGAACTGGGTTTTTCTTGCTTTTTGATGAATGAATTGTGGTTTTGGATATGCAGTGAGAAAACAGGGCTATGCTAAAACGCTCTTAGGTCAGTCTTCAAAGGGTACAGTTCTGCAAACATCATCCTTTTGTCACAGGATTTCTGCTTTCCACTACCGGGAGCTTTTATTATTACAGCTGGAACAAACAGAAATAACTTAGCTACCTCTCTGTGCCTTTAGCAAAGACCATTTCGGTGCATTTGATTTCCCTGTTTGTACTACCATTTTAGGTAGCATTCAAAGAATTGTTCTGAGTGGCTTAATGGTTTGTTTGCTTCCTCAGAAATGCTGTCCCAAATTCAGTTCAGGTGGTTTTCAGAATAACCTTACTGATACTAAAACCCTTTCGAATTCCACTACCAAGACCTAGCAAAACCTCCCTGTGTAACTGTGTGTGGCTGGGGAAAGCCCTGGGTTTTTCTTGTGTGTTGTAGTAAAAAAGAAAGTTAATGTAAAATCAGTGTTACCGGTACAACCGCAGGTGCTAAGGTGGACACTGCTGCAGTTGAAGGGCCTGGATCTGTCTTGGTGTGATCCTGATCTCCCTTCAGAGGTGGAAGATTTAGAGTTTAACGGTCTTGTAGTTTCGAGGAGATTGGAACATAACAAGACAGACATATGGCAAAGCTTTTTCTTAGCTGCCGGTGTGTGGAGCAACCACCAAAGTTATGTAAATAAATGTATGCGGTCTGGTTACTTGGATAGGTTTGACTGTTTCCTTTTTTTTTTTCTCCAGCTGGTAACTGTGAGCTCAGATACAACTCCTTCGTGTGTGAGGGTCAAAGGATGAGTAAGAGCCTGTTAATAGAGGACGGTGGGAGTTGTAAAGAAGGAGAGCCAGGAATAGAGTCAGCCTGAGCGTTCTGCTGTTCAGCTTTGGCAGCTCTGTAAAATGGAGCAACGGTGGAAGTGTTGATCTTGGCGTTTGCTCTGGATGGTTGTGATGGGTTGGGTTGGATGCCAGCGAATAGCCAGCTGGGAAGGGCTGGTTCCCCGGCGGGGAAGGGCGCCGCGATCCGGCGGAAGGGTGCGATGTGCTCGCTGTACGTCAGCCAGCGAGGAGCGTCGTGTCCTTGTGCCTGGACGCCGGCACGTGTTCGCTGTGCAAGGATCCTGGCTGGTGTGACTGCCCGGGGTGGAGACAAGCGGAAGCTCACTTGCATGGCGTGCTGCGTTCGTGGAGAAGGCAAGTTTCTGGAATTGTTGAAGCTAAATCCCGAATATTCAAAATATAGTTCGACTGTGTTGGGTGAGGCAGTGTAGATTTTAAGGGAGTTACCTGCTGTGCTTGTTATCTTCTAACTGGTTTTGCAGTAGCTGTAGGAATGTAGCCATCCAGGGATTTTTTTTTTTGCTTCTGTGGCTAGTGTGGAATGGTCTAAAACTTTTTTCCTTTTTCATTTTTTAACCCCCACTCTAGAGGGAAGCTTCTGAGCAGAAAGCTGAGGTGTGGACGCACAACACACCGGCTGGTTCGGCACACCGGCTGTTCTGCGCAGGCTTCTCGCTGATGACGTAGAGTACTTGAGGTTTCTTCGCGTTGCCTTGCCGAATAGTGTTGCACTGGAGCGTTGCTGGTGTCCACGGGGGGAGTTAGCAGCAAGCATAATGTGCCTGTTGTGTAGCAGGTAGCTTCTACAATCTGCAGAAAGTAGATTTTGATTCTTTTATATAACATGCACCTACAGATCTCTGCCGGAATGTGTTTTTCTCTTTGTGTATGTAATTTTTTTTTTAAATTTCGTTTTTCAGGATTGGACCTATCCCATGAGGAGAGAGATGCAGGTAGGACACTCACTTACCATTTGAGTCAAAACCCACTGTGCATTCCGCAGGAAGCAGAAAGGGCCTTGCAGAAGAGCTGGTATCCAAATCAGCTCCAGGGATGAGGGGTCGGGCAGCGCTGCGGGTGGGATGCGTGAGGATTGCCAGCTGAGAGGGGAGCTGTGCTTGGATCCTGGGTGTGCGAGTGCTAACAAAAAAGTAAAGTAATTTTTCCCCTTTCTTCAGAATCCCCCAAATACTGCGCTTTTGTCTTTGTGAATATTTTTAGGAGATGGTTGCTAAAAATGTATCAGAACTTTGCTTTTTTAACTTAGATTTGGTTAGAAATAAGTGTTTTCAAGCAGGATGGACAATTAAAATTTATCTACCGTGGTGTCAGCCAAATCTTTGCACAAGATGAGGTCTACAGACCTACGTGTCTTTATTGGGGGGGAGATAAATGGTTAAAAATTGATATTTTCCTACTACTAGGCCAAAGCTAGATGACTTGCCATGTGTGTATCTTTTTGCATGAGAGCGATTTGGAATTAATTACAAGACACGATTGTATACCAAGTTAGAGTTCCCTTCATTTGATCTGGGGCTGGGTAAGATGCAGTAATCAAGCTGGAACTTAGTCCAAATAAAGGACTTGATTCCCGTTCCAAAACAAGATCTCCTGCGCAAAGATCATGTTTCTCCTGTTCTGCCAAACCTATTTTTTTCCCTTGTCCTGTTATAAATGACACTTAACAACGCATCTCTCTAATATGTAAATTACTTGTTTCCGTGACCGTAGTCTGAGTTGAGTGCACTGTATTATTTCAAATAATTTGGAGTTGGCATTAAATGTCTGTTTTTCTGCCCCCTAGGAAATTTTACCTGGGTTATTTTTAGGCCCGTATTCTTCAGCTATGAAAAGCAAGGTATGATTTTCAGAATGGTGTCTCGTAAGGGAAGTTTGCTGTGGTAATTTGTTACTGTGGCGATAAGTGCAAGCACTATCTATGTATAGGTGTGAATTTGGTTGCAATCCTGAACTGGAACATGAAGGATGCCGGAGCAGAAGTAAGACACGGTGTGTTTATGGGATGGTCCTTTTAGCCTGCAGGATTATCTGACTGGGGCCGGTGTCGGTGCCTCCCCTTCGCAGAGAGCATCTGAACGACCGCCTCGGGCACCTGCTGGGGCGGTTGGTACTTAGAAGACTGTGTTTTCCTTAACAGCCTTGGGAGCTGAAGGGTTATGGCAGGAGAAAAATGGAAAAAATTAAAACTGTTTAAATTTTTTCCTGTGGCTTGAAGTTCTGCAGGCATTTGTACCCACACACGTGCATGGTCTCTTAATTCAGCTGGTCGGCTTTACCTACTCCTTCCGAACCAGAGCAAAGTGTGAGTTTGAAGTGACTTGCACACTGATTGCAGTAAGCATTCATGTGTGAGCTTTTTGTATTAAAATGGAGTCTTATAGTTAAGCTTGAATATAATTTTTCTTAGAAAAAGGTAAAGCATCTGAGACTTGCACGTTACCGAGCAGGGAATCCTTTTCCTTTGCTTTGCACAAATCGGAACTGGGAGCTCACACGTACGCAGTAGAAGAAGGTAAATTGCATCTGCAGTGAGGTCAGGCACTGCTAAGGCAGAGCTTGGGTCTGCAGACTTACCTGGTGATTCAAGGGATCGTACTTCCAGCGGTCTGACTCCGGCAGGAATCCACTGCTAGCTGGGAATTGCGACGTCACGCAGGGACTTGCAGCTTGAGGGAAAGGTGGGCAGAGACGAACAAGTTCATTGAATGCCTCCTGTACTGCCTGGGCTTTTTATCATTGCTGGGAACGCTTGTGCCTGCAGCTCCTGATGGTTCTGTTTTGTCTCTTTGAGAGACAGAATTTTTCACGCTGTGCTTTGAATATTAGAAAACTAGCTCGGATTTGCCTTGAGGACATGATATAGCCCTGTTGTGTATTTAAGTATGGCTTTTCTTTTTACTGCTGTGCACTAGATGGATTCAGTAATTTAAACAAAATCTGTTTTTTTTCTTTTTCCACAGCTACCTATACTTCAGAAACATGGAATAACCCATGTAATATGCATACGGCAAAACATTGAAGCAAATTTTATTAAACCAAACTTCCAACAGTTATTTAGGTGAGAAATGATGACATGCAGAACTGCAAACAATGAAAGACCTTACTTTCTATCACCTTATTCTGTATTAACGAGGTTTTTTTGTGTGTGTGTTGGTGTTTTTTCCAAATAGTTTAACGTTGTCAAAAGTATTTGAAAAATGTGTTACGGTGTAGAAAGACTCTTAAATCCAAACGTTGAAGTTTATTCATCCATTGAGCTCTAGAGACAGACAACACCGCAAGTGAGAAGCATCCGTTAGATCTGAATTTCTTCCGCTCAGAGAGGAGGTGTTGTCAGGGGCTGTTGGAGGGGGTTCCTCCCTCGCTGCCTTGTGAGGACGGCCCCGGAGGCTGCTTGTCTGTCGCGTTCTGATCTCAGACCAGAAAGTGAAGCTGGGAGGGCAGTGCTGGCTGCCTTCTGCACGCTGGAGCAGAGCAGCGGGGTTGAATCCGCTGAGGGTGACGGAGCACTGGAACAGGCTGGCCCGGGGGGTTGTGGAGGATCCTTCTCTGTTTGACCCGCCTGGACAAGGTCCTGTGCAGCCTGCTGTGGGTGACCCTGCTTGGGCAGGGGGGTTGGACTAGATGACCCACAGAGGTCCCTTCCAACCCCTACGATTCTGTGATTCTGTACGTGTGCCGGTGGCAGCAACTCGGTGTTACCGTGTACTCACAGCAGCTGTTTTCGTTGTAGGTATTTAGTCTTGGATATTGCTGATAATCCAGTTGAGAACATAATACGATTTTTCCCTATGGTAAGTATTTGTGCGTTAATGTGAACAGAGTGGGAATGGAGCTGCCCAGTGAGAATTTTCTGAACTGACAGATGCCAAATTTCCAATCTGGGATACCCAGCCTGAGGCACCTGGAAGGGCTGAGAACTCTTAAGTGACCTTTACTATAGCCGCTTTAGTAAGCGTAATTAACTCCTTTTTACGAGTGTAGAAACTGAGGCAGAGCTGTAAGAGCTAGGTCTTATTACGGTCTCAGAGAGGGGTGGGGGGGAAGGCTGGTCTTGGAGAAATTGGGTCGGGGGGGATGCTCGTGCACGGGGGATTGCTGGAGAACTTGGCCTGCAGGAAACTTAATTCTTGGAGCCCAAGAGTATTTACATCTCTTGTACCAAATATTAAATTCAAGAGAAAATAGTACCTAGCTGGTGTGACTAAGTTTTACAGCATCTTGAAACATGTTTACTGTGGAGGAATCAAAAAGTAACTCTAAGGTAAACAGTACCTGTTACACACGGACCTTTGGAAATAGAATAAACCCTTAGTTTTGAGCTATGGCTTTGTATCTTTATTTTAGGCTAGTTTGCAACAGAATTTTGTTCTTCCCCCACCCCCAAAAAAACCCCAACTACCAAAAAGCTCTTCTGGCTTCCCTCGTGTGGCAGAGGCAGTCACGTTTTTGCAGAACACGGCGGTGAATCAGTTGCTGGCTTGCGGCTTTCCTGAAGCCCAGCGACTTCTGATCACATTTTGATCATCGCCTGTGTGAACCTCACAGTTACTGACATCTCGGTAGCTCTGGGTCGGCGTGTTTTGGTTATTAAACCAAACAATAAATTATTTCCATTTTGGTTTTTCAGCTAATGAGCTGTTTCAACCAGGCAGTACTCCACAGGCCTCACTACGTCACGTCTTGCCTTATGGATGGATTAGAGCTATTTTTACAACTGCAGATACCACTGGAGAACTTCTAGGAAGGCTCAAGGGTCAGCAGAGCGGCCCAAGCCATACTGGTGCTGTGAGGTGTGGGTTTGGGGTTTGGGGTTTTTTTCCCCCCAGCTGTTCAGCACAGGAGTTTGGAAGTGACTTTTTGTTACAGCAGCATAATGTGACGTAGTGATTGTAGAAGGCACACGTACTGGATTCTTAGGCATTTTTGTTTCTGACTTCACACTTCAGTTTTTGACAGACAATTTTATGGATAGTTAAAAGTACAGAAGAAGTAGAAGTGTCCAGCTGAAGTGATGTCTGAGTCTCTATAGACAGAGTGCGTTCTTGTCCCTGTATATAAAGACTGATACAAAAATTCTACCAAATATAAATGCAAAGTGCTGTAACATCTAAAATAATCTGAAACTTTGAGTCGTGTAACTTTTTTTTCCTTTTTAGACTAAAGAATTTATTGATGGAAGTTTACAAAGTGGAGGTAAAAATCATATTAACTTTTTTCCTTCATTTATTAATACGTTGTTGTTAAAGCTTTAAAACTAATTCAGTGGTGCGTATTAGAGGCTCTTAAGGAAGAGGTTTCCTTAAATTTGGTGTTTTATTGTGCTTGACTTGAACTAAATCATACAAGTTCACAGCAAAGTGTTCCCCTTTCCTTTTGCCTCTCACTAGAAAACAAACCTCTTTGTGTATCTGGGTGGGGGTTTTTTCGCTTTAAACATGACTGGGTTGTGTGCATGAGGGTTTTCTTGTCCATTCTCTAAGGCAGGGCCTTAAATGTGCACTGTGGTCCCGGAATGCAGATTCTGTTACTCAGCACCCTTGGAGGAGCAGGAGTCTGTGCTTTGGTATCCAGGGCAGGAATGGACAGAGTGTAGTTAGTAATCTGGAGGGAAGCGAGACACACCTATTATTCTTAGGATGTACCTTGCTGCTGGGTAGTTCTCTGTAATAAGGAAAAGCTAAATTTCAAAGAATTTTCTTCAGTCTCTAAAAGTATGGGTGGTTTTTTTTCCCTTCTCAGGAAAAGTTCTTGTCCATGGAAATGCAGGGATTTCTAGAAGGTAGGAAACTACCCATCCTGCTTATTAAATTTTTTTTTCTCAGACCATGGAAATATATTTTACTAATTTTTTTTCTGTTCCTTTTCAGTGCTGCCTTAGTTATTGCATACATAATGGAAACATTTGGGGTGAAGTACAGGTAAGAACAGAGCGTGGTCGTGCAGGTAACCATTTGTCCGAAAAGGCTGAAGTGAGAGAGTACTTTAGTGCAGGTAAGAAGTCCAGTACGTCTGTAGGTATTCATCTTTTAATTTGTGGAGTACGTGAATAATAATATTGGAGGGAAAATGAACAGTCATGACACCAAACTGGGAGGAGTGGTAGATACACCGCCAGGCTGTGCTGCCATTCAGCGAGACCTGGACAGGCTGGAGAGTTGGGCAGAAAAGAACCTGATGAGGTTCAACAAGGGCAAATGCAGGGTCCTGCACCTGGGGAGGAACAACCCCATGCACCAGTACAGGCTC